GAAAGCAAGCCTACATTGGTGGTGGGAGTGTAGGCAGGTACTTTGGAGATTCCTCAAAAAACTAAAATAGTAGCTCTCCTGGGTATTTTCCCAGAAGAGCTGAAGTCGCACTCTAGTGGTACATTTGTGCTCACTCATGCTTATGGCTGCACAGCTCCCAGTAGCTAAGCCGTGAAAATTACCTGAGCCCAGCAGTGGGTGAACAGATATGGAAATGTGATGTGTATGCACAGTGGAGTGTGTGTAGCCATCGAGGGACGCATTTGGGATGTGGATAGGTCTTGAGACTACTGCTAAGTGGAATAAATTGTTGGTTATATGAAACCTAAAATATAAGTATTTTAAAGAGCAGTGTTAAGAAATAAGGAAGGCGGTAGAGTCTGTGGCAATGGCAAGGGTACTGGGGAAGGAGGAATCAGGGTGGGAAGGGAGGGCCGGGGGAGTAGAAATGGTCAGGACACTGTGTGTGTGTGTGTGTGTGTGTGTGTGTGTGACCTCCATGCTGGGTGTAGTCGCTCATTATCATAGCATGCACTAACACAAGATGAAGGGAGGGCCGAGCTTCTCCCTCATCATGGTCTCACTGTTTGTAGTCTGCCCCCAGTCTGCTGTGATCTCTCAGCACTGAGTGGAAATACCCAGAAGTGAAGTTGTGCTGTGTTCATTACCCCAAGCCCTGCAATGCGCTTCACGCGCCGTTTTGCCCAGAACGGTTCATCCCTTTGGCCAGAGTAGCCCTGCCGTGTGTGCTGCCTGCCTGTTGGCTGTGCATTGGCCGTCTCAGATATGCATCACTGTTGTGGTGTCCCCTGCTTGTGTTAAAGTGTTCCCTAGGCATGCACTGATGTTGGCACTTTCGATAGGCCACAGTGATGCTGTAAAGTATTTCCTGCGATGTTTTACATCATCTCAAGAATGGTGAGTATAGGGTGGGGAAGATAGCTCAGCGGTCTAAGCACCTGCCTGGCAAGCGCAAGAACCCTGGTTCGATCCCCAGTACCACATGTCATGCTGCCCTGGAACCCCAGGTGTGCCGTGCTGGTCCTGAAACCAAGTGTGGTGGTGCATGCCTGTAATGCAAGCAGTGAGGAGGCTGAGACAGATGGATCACTACTAGTCCAAGCTGCATAGTGAGACCCTGTACCAAATAAAAAATAAAAAATAAGAATGGTGAGTATAATACAGTAAGACACAGTGAGAGACCATATCCCTGTAGCATTTATTACAGCATATCATTGTATCTGCTTGCTGTTAATCTTACTGTGCCTAATTGATCAATTCATGTCATGTTAGCTCTTCTGTGTATTGGTTTATGGGCTGCCGAAGTGAGCATGGTTCTGCATGTATGGGAGAAAATCCAGCACAGATAGGGTTTTTCTTACCTCCTATTTCGGGGGGGTTGGAACTTGTGCTCCATCACTGGGGTGGAGTGGAGGAGCAGATGCTATATGCTGAGTGCTTGTGACTGAAGAGTAGTTAAAACTGCTTTTCAAAGTATGGTCTGTGAGTGCAGCCTGGGCCTCGCTGGGTGGTCCTTAGGGAGGCAGCTGCCCCACTGCAGAGGTGGAACCTGCCCTCCTCAGCCCCAGGATACTCAGCACAGTGGGAGTGAGAGACACGCGATGTACGTGTGCCTTCTTACTAAAATAGTCGAACCCTCCAGCAAGTGATCTGTTTCTATTTTCCTTTGGTGTCTGTGTAAAGCTTGGGACAGGTTGCTGCATTATAAATTGTTCCAGATGTTAGAAATGCCTAGACCTACTGGAGAAGGCAGCTGTGTCGAGAGTGGTCACAGGAGCCCCAAGGGAAGCTCCGTTGGGTTATAGACGTCATTTCTCAAACACGAAAGAAGGTTATCTGGGAAAAGGCTGCGTACACACCCTGTGTCATTAGTGAGTTTGAGGGGCCATATGATTTTTAATTTTTTAAACTTTTTATAATTAGTAGCCTACGAATTCTGTTTTTTAGAGTAATTTTTTATCTTTAGATTAAAAATTATGGGGCCCGGGGATAGGGTATTTGACTTAGTGGTGGCACACTTGTGTAGGAAATTTGTATTTAAGACAGAAACCTACTGTTTATAAAAAGCTTTTTATTGATGACTCATATGTTACTGGTTTTTCATACTCAAGTAAATTTATAGAAATCTGATAATTTTAAGTTTCTGAGTATTTAACGTTATTTCTAGATAACTTAGTTTTCTGTTTCCATTGAACTATGCAAGCAATATTTGAAATTCTTCATTAGAAAACAAAATTATGAAAGGATACAGGTAGGAAGAATTGTAGTGCTAAGTCTTGTATTCCTGTGTGCACATTGTGTATTAGCTTTGCTGCCGTGTTTTCAGATTATTTTTGACTCTGACCCAAAGAGGTAACATTGTATGGCGCCGCCGCTCTCCTTCCAAGGCAGCAGTTGGTGCTTTACCACATGGCTGTGGACGTTCAGGGTAGCCAGGGCTCTGAAGCCCGGAGTGTGCCTGTCCTCTGTTCTCACTCCCGGTTGCTAGCCTCAGTTTTGCAGCGTTTGTAGATGACTTTAGTTCATATGCAAGCCTTTAAATTTTAGATGCTTTTCAGCTTGTGCTAATGGCTCCATGCTGTATGATTCAGCTATAACTTTTCTTAATCTCAGTATTGTATTTAAGATTTACTCATGTAGTTATAAGGCTTTTTGAGGCAGTCCTTCAGTCATTTAATCATGCATGCATGCATGCATGCATGCATGTATTCATTCATTCATTTGGTACAGGGTCTCCCTACGTAGCTCAGGCTCATGGTGTTCCTCCTATCTCAGTCTCTCCCGTGCTGGGATTACAGGCATGAGCCATCATGCCCGGTGTTGGTGACCGACATGGTGCACCCAGGGATCCTAGGCTGGCACATCGTACGATACTGGGGATTGAACCTGGGTCCATGGGCTTGCCAGGCAAGTGTCTACACTGTTAGGCTATCTCCCCAGCCCCTTATTCTCATTCTTGTAAACCCTACTGATAGGTATAAAAACTTTACGAAAGTGGTGGGTGCAAAATGGAGGCCCTCGTAGATGTTTCCCCTAATTACCTGTGAAACTGAGCATGTTTTTGTATGTTCCTTAATTATACATTTCTTTTGTGAATTACCCGTTCATAGCTTTCTGTGCATTTTTCTGTTGGGTTTTTTTTCCTTACTGATTTCTAGGTTTTGTTTTATTTGCTTATTATTTTAATATAGATATATGTATATGGTCCTGGGGATTAAACTCAGGGTCTGACACATGCTAAGAAAGCACTTTTACCACCCTCAGCCATATGTCTTTTTTCTTTTATTTTTAACCTTTATGTATTTGGTACAGAGTCTCACTGTGTAGCTCTGTCTCATAGTGATCCTCCAGTCTCAGCCCTCCCAGGGCGAGGATTACAGGTGTGCACCACCATGTCTGGTTTTAGTGGCTGGCTCAGCGCCTAGGGCTGGCTTGGCATGCTGTAGTGGGGATTGAAGCTGGGTCCTTGCACTTGTCCTGCAGGTGCTTAGACCGCTGAGCCATCTCCTCAGCCCCTAATACTTTATTTTTAAAAATATCTTTCCAGCTGCTGGGGTTTTATCCCTGGCATGTCATGCGGGCCTCACCCCCATGGCGTGCTGAGATGATTGAGACTGGGTGTGGTGGTGCGCGCCTGTACTCCCAGCTCTTGGGAGGCTGAATGCAGGTGGATCACTAGGATTCCGATCTACTTAATGAAACTCTGTAGACCCTGTGCTCAAACACATACACACACACACACACACACACACACACACACAATCTTTTGTGCCCTTGTAATCCTAGCTACTTGGAAGGCTGATATAGGGGATCATAAAGTCAAGACCAGCTGGGGTAGCAAAGCAACACCCCGCCCAGCTAAAAAAAAGTAATATTTGATTTTTATCTATTGTTACTATTTTAAACAATATCTTGTATGCTTCATAAAGAGCTTTTTGCTGTGGGCTAGCCTGCTACTGTTTCAAATATTCTGAGTGAAAAAACTTCACATAAATTAGTTTTAAAATTTTAGATTTAGGGGATAGTTTTTAGGAAAACGAAATAGGTAAAAGGATTAAGGTTCCAGAAGGCATTTTTCTACACTGGCAGGGCAACCAAGACACCCATCTTATGTGGCAAGATGCGTGTGTAACCTCCATTATAATTGAATAAAAACCAGAATGCTTATAGTATGTTTCTTGGTGTTTCTTTTAGTTTTGGTACTTATTTTTCTTTTTTCAAATTCATAGACACCACTTGTTTATTACTCACGTTCACCAAAGTAGAAAACATTTTCTTTGTGAAGCACCCTGGACCGACTCCATCTAATTAGCCAAAAGAAAGGTCATCTACACACAGAAAGGGCACTACTTCTGCTGCTCAGTAGCTGGAGTCATCTTTTTTGTGATGTTCTTTACAGTGGTTTTTTATTTTATTAGTGCATGTTTTCAACTCATGCCATTTACAGTCATGTACACATTACAACTGTTTTCTAGTCCCCTTGCTCCCATTTCCCATTACCTGTTTTGTACTTGCTGAGAGTTTCTGTCTTAGCACATGATGCTCCCATTGGAGTTGTTAGCATCCCATACACAGCACATCTTCATTCCTCTTCTGTCCCCTGCCCCTCCCCCCACTCCTGTTCCCTTGGATCACTTCCCATTGGAAGAGATTTGACCCCTTGTACCTTTGTGTCCCTCCCTTATTGTTTTCTTTGTTTGTACTTTGACTCACTCAAATGAGAGCTCTCATAAGATTTGGGCGTGTGGCGGGGG